ATGAAGAAGATGGTGATGAAAATGATGAAAATGATGTTGTCGTGACTGTGTTGATGATGATTCAACGACTCATCATAATGAAGACCACAACATGTAGCGTGTTTAATAACAAAAACAATAATAATGATGATGGTGACGATGATGCTGATGATGACGATGGTGATAATGCTGATAATGACGATGATGGTGATGACGATGATGGTGATGATGATGATGATGGTGAAAATGATGGTGACGATGACAACGATGATGATGTTAGTGATGGTGAAAGTGATGACAACCGTAGTCGTATTGATGTCTGGAGGGCTCTTTCGGTTTAGGCTCAATGTAGAATTGTCCTTGGAATCCAATTTTCTGCTTGTAGTCTGTAGTTAATTCACCATACTCAATACAGATGTCAATAACATTCCCATCGTATCATCACTACCTCACTTTTTCTCGTCATCACCCACATCATCATCATTATCAGTAACTCACCAACAGCCATCTTGAAAAATTTTGCCATGTTAGATAGCTCCCTGTGAACGTCTGTGTTCAGGGGGGTTTGGTAGCCCTCTCTGCCACCCCAGAATACTGATGATGATGATGACAATAATGACGATGATGATGACGGTAATGATTATAACGGTGATACTGATTACAAGGACGACAATGATAATAATAATAATGATGATGATGATATAGAAGATGATGATGATAAAAATGACATAACTTTCTATCGTTCTTACCCCACTACAACCGTTATGCATCTGCATCATAAAATTGGGAATACCCACTTAGAAAGCCACGATAATCAAACTCCCGACAATCCATTATGCATCCCACTCACCAAATCCTTGTGCTCCCAACTTAAGGGCAAGATCCAATCCTTTCTTGACTTGAGCCGCGGCCTGTGCAAATACATGAACGTCTGGGTTGGTGGATGCTCCGTTCATGTATCTGTAGAAGTGTGTGTGTGTGTGTGTTTGTGGAATGTGTATGTGTTGTGTGTGCGTGAGTGTGTGAGTGGGGATTGTGTACGTGTTGTGTGTGTGTGCGTGTGTGGAATGTGTTGTATGTGCGTGTGTTTGTGGGTGTGTGTGTGGATTGTGTTCGTGTTGTGTGTGTGTGGAATGTGTATGTGTTGTGTGTGCGTGTATTTGTGTGTGTGTGTGGGTGTGAGTGGGTGTGTGTGTTTGCGTCGTCAGACTGCTAGCATGAGATTGAGTTTAACGGTTTGTGTTTAAAAATTAAAATGTTATACTAGACAACCAACTGGCCAGTCAGACAAACTGACCAGCCAGCCCGTCAATCAATCCACCGCACCTCCCACTAGGTCAGTACCTAACATTAGAGAAGAGGTTGCAAGTTGCCCATAGAGGTTTGATGTTGGTGACCTTCTGAAGTTCCAGCATGTAGTCAGTCACCTCATCCAGGTTCCTGCCAAACTCTTTGAGGTTGTTCCCTTCAGGGGCAATGTCCCTGGATGGATGATGAATGGATGGGGTGGGTGATGAATGAATGGGGATGGATGATGAATGGATGTGGTGAATAGTACATGAATGGTGAGTGATTCGTGGCGAGACAGTAATGGAAAAGAGTTAACTAGCATGTTGGCAAGGAAGTAACAAGATTAATCCAAAATTTATACTTAAGTCACTGGTCTCAATAACTGAACTTATCAACAAAGATTCAAATTACAAATACGTATATCTAAACAATCCAACTGATCAATTAATCTATCAAACATTCAGATAACCATCCAAGAACAATATGCAATTGGCAATGCAAACACACAATCCAGTCAACCAAAAAAGCCTCGCAACCACAAATTCAACCAAACATAGTCAACAGCAGTTTGAAGACGTAAAAAAAACTGAAACCAACACATCATGGAATGTATAAAACTCGATGCCAAGCTTTTGCATAAACTCAAAGGCCACTTTAACTCTCCTCTTTGCATTTTCCAAACTCTGGCTACCATCATCCCATGGCCTCTGAAGGGTGCCTGATCCAAAGGGATCCACACCTTATGGTCAGAAAAATAAGCAGGTTTAGGGAAAGATAACATAGCATAATAATTCGAAAATTTATACATGACAAAACAAAGATAAAACAGCGCGAGATTTTAAAACGTTGTATATATATAAATGTATATATATATATATATAAAGCAGAGCTAACAGAAGATTATTGAATGGTAATAATCTTGAAAATTGGGTAGAAGCGTGAAAGAAAGATTGGGGGAAACATTTTGGGTGAGATAATTTTAAAAATGAAAAAAATATGGTTGAAAGGTTATATTAAAGGTCGATGATAAAATGAATTAAGAGGTGTAATGTCAATGTATGAAAAATAAAAACAAATTTTTGATTAAACTGGGAAAACTTTTGAGCTATGACAATTTAATTAATAACGGCAATAATAAAACAAATTGAAAAAAATTATTAATATGGATAAAATTATAATAATAATTATTATGATAATGGTATCATGATATCGTGATAATACTATAATGTGTATAAATATTTGAGGTAAATAATTTTAAATTTTGGTGGATGGTAAAGTGTTGGTGGAATAAAAAACTGGCGACGACTAAATTCAATTTTACCAGTTCCTCTAAAAGTGTGCCAGAAACATACAGAAAACCTCAACCAGTCCTTCATCTTCTTGCCCAGTACTTCCTATTTTAGAGTTTAGAGAATCAAATTGAAAATTGATTAATACTAAAAACCCAAAATATAAAGACAACTGAATCACATATTAATCTCCATTTATTTGTTTGGAACATTTAACTTTTCCATTAATTAAAACCATCAAAATTTAGTTATGTATTCATAAAGAATTCAAATTTGATAAAAAAATTATTTTTACAATTTTTGGAAAATTTTTATTTTTCATACAAACTTCCTCAGCATTGTAGTGCTTGAAAACCAGAGTTTCATTAACTCTGCAGTCTGGTTTGTATGGAATCTTTCCAACTGCATTTTAAATGTTTAAGGCATATAAACTCGAACAAAAAAATTCATTTATTGATAACACAATATTATTTTGAAATATTGATTATCAATTTTTCTCCCACTATGATCATAAAAAATTTTAACAACGAATAATAAACGAGTTTTAAACTTCAAATAAAACTTAAAAGAAATGCAAGTTAAAAGTAAAATCAAGATTATAATATAAAAAAAACCTCTTTAAAAACATTAAATTTATTATAAATTATAATATAATATAAAATAATATAATTATTTTAATTATTATATGGAAGAGCCAAACCAAAAAAAGCATTCCCCACTCTTCATGTTCATGTAATAAACATGGATATATCCATGGTAATAAATTGTAAATAAATAAGAAATGACAATCAAATGTGAATACATCCAATGAAGAAGAAAATAATTTCAAATTATTTAAAATAATCACCCGGCAGTAAATCTCCTTCCATCATAAACTTTTTCGAATTTTACGATCAACTTCGTCTTAAACTTCGATCCTACGATATGATTTATGATCAATCAATAAATGTCTACCTTTAAACATTGTTTAAAAGTGGATTGATGCTTTAAAAGTTATCGAAGATGAATCACACCAGGAATAGAATAAAATGGAAAGGAATTGATGGAATAGAATGAAGCCTCTTGCCACCATAATGTAAATTTTTTCAAGAATAAATAATTCAATAATTAGAATGCTTGATTGAAAACGTTCAGTTTAACTTAACATCTTTTGGTTTGGGTTTGACATCTTTACTTTCATATATAAAATTTACTCTGCCAAAATTTATCTAAGGCTATCCTAAAGTTAGTCATGTTGGCTGATTTTACCACATTTTCAGGTAGGCCATTCAATTCATTTAATATTCGGTCGGTGAAGTAGTATTTTCTGACATCTTTTCTGCAAGTCCGCTTAATCAACTTCAAATCATTTTCTTATGTTGCCATAGTAAGGGCATAGTCTGGTTTGATATCATTATCCTGCAGTCCATTAAGCAATTGATAAATTGATATCATGTATCCTCTTTTGAGTCTGTTAACCAGTGAAGGCCACCCTAGAATCTTTAACCTATCCTCGAATTTTAATCCTCTCTTCATTACAGTGGTATCTTGGATGTTCGTTTCTGAACTGTTTCTAAGTGTGGAATTTGGTGCTTTCTAAAGGGGTATCACACAGTCGCACCATTCACAAGAATTGACCTAACCATAGATTTAATAAGAAGAGAAAAAGCTGCTATAGGTGCATTTTTGAAATTCCGTTCTAGCAAACTGTTTGCTCATCTAGCAGTTTGAAAACATGATCGTTCAAAATCAGCATGGAGTCTCTACCAGGATACATAGTTTTTTCTGCTTCAGTTAAGGGCATCTCTACTCCTTCTTGTCTCATTAAAGCATATGTTGAGAACTGCTTTTAACCTCCAATTTTTAGTACAAAACACTTGGAAGCATCTCAAGAACCAATCACATACACGAACAGCAGTCTTCTTCAGTCTGAATCACGTTAAAGATTTTGGAATCATCTGCAAAAAATTGTATATAATGGGAGTATTGAATTTTTTCCTCCTGACAATCTTTTTGTATCTGTCGTGTAAAATTGTTATTTAGCGCTATATAAGTCAGTGACTTTCCATATTTTTTCCTTCAAAAACTCAACTACGTTGGCGTTTTTTTTTTTGTTTTTTTTTGTTTTTGCTTATTGGCGATGCGAAAACAAATGGAAGTCATGACGTCAAGATGACAGTTCAAAAAAGTTATCAAAAAGTCTAAATATAAAATAAATAATGTAAAACGATGGAATGATTTGAAATTCTAGAAACGCGCCATTTTGTTTTAATGTTTGTTTCAAATATTTAATAAAAATAAAAATTATTTCCTTCGAGCCATTTTTATATTAATGAGATGAAAATTTGTTATGTAACCTAGTTCAAGTTATCAACGAGATTTAATACGAATCACAAAGAATTAGGATTATATATTTAAAAAAAAACTAATAAATAGACATCTAAAATATAAAACATACTCACATGCGCGCGCACACACACACACACACACACACACACACACACACACATATATATATATATATATATATATATATATATATATATATATATACATATATACATCTGATTTTGAATTAATATAACAACTAAAAAATAAGGAACTTTTTTGTAATCAATAAAATGCAAGGTTGTTAGAATTGTCATAGAACGACTCGCATGTGTACGTACATACAGTACAGGTTGCGGCATGATCACAATGTGTGTTTGCGTTGTTGTCTTGTTGTCGCTTGTTTTTTTTTGTATGTGTAGTGTGTGTGTGTCTGTGGGTGGGTGTGGGTGTGGGCGTGTGTTTGTTTGTATGTGTTGGTACGTGTATATTTTTTTTAATGTTGTAGCTATCTAGTTACGTACGTACGTTAACTTTAGATATTATTTAGTTGAAATTATCATTTGTCATCAAATTAAGAAAGTTTCAAACTTCTTGAAAAATTGCAAATGTTCCGAAATTAAAATATATTTTTGCAAACAAATGATCATATAGATAATTTTTATATAAAATTATGGTTGAAAATGGAGAAGTTCTACTATTCAAAGACGAGTTAAGACGTTGCTATGGAAATGTTTCAACATAGAAATGTGTGAGAAAAACGCGAGGAAGAAACAGCTATCCGTGACTGGATGCTTGTGAAGGAGCAGCGAGATGAATATGCGATTTATAAAAATACAAACATCAGATTTGAGATTGAAAAATGTTTTTATCTAGAAAGTTATAATTGATGAAAAAATTCATACGGTCATATATTCAACTATATTTACGTGAACCCTACAATGTGTGTGCAATTCAGTGTATAAAATGTTATCCTTTAATACATTATTATCCTACAATAACCAAATCCCAAAATATACTGAAACGCACAACATTCAACATTGATGATTCAAGCGAACATTTCCTTTTTTAATGACTGTTCCAACTCTCGGTGAAAAGAACCGAATTTTATTTGCTCTTCAAAATTGGAATAATAATTTTCATGACGTCATTGACGTCTTTTACCGCCATCTATTAATTTTTTGTCGCATTTTTCAACAGTTCTAACAACGATTTATTTTTTAAAAATTCGCGTCTAAGACATTTTGCAGTTTTGGTTAAAAAATTTAAAAAAAAGTTGAAAACTTTTCCAATCTAGGCTTCCGTGACGAAAATTTCAGGAGGAGGTGGAGGAGGATGAGCTGGGGATGAAATATTCTTCGATGGCTTAACTAACTTCTTAAGTCTCCACTTTCTTATCAGCTTACTTTTAAATTTCTTCAGACCGTGCGCAGCAGTCGATTGCTGAGAGTTCGGCGTAGTCATCACTGTCATGTCGATGATTTCGTGTCTCGAGAAAAAAGCGCTGTGTGGCGGCGGTAGCGACGATTCTGTAGCCGCCACTTGCTGTGGTTTGTCTTTCTGGTCATTTTTGGGACGTACGGTTTTTTTCTCTTTGTTTTTGTCGCACGTTTCGAAGCATGGAGTGAGGAAGAGCATGAGTCCGCTGATGAGGATGATGGCCCCTGCTCCGTAGAAGGCCAGGTTGTAAGAGGAAGTGGCGTCAGATAACCAGCCTGTATGTTGTAGTGTGTGTTTGTGTGGGAGTGTGTGTGAGTATGTGTGTTTGTGTGTGTTTGTTTGAGTGCATGTGGCGTGTATAGAGTTGTTGGAATGTACATTTCGCCTGATTTATGTGCTTTTGATTGTTGCTTGGATTTGTGAGCGAATGAGCTAGCGTCTTTTCATGTAATTGTTTCGGAAGTGTAATTTTAAGTTGCTGTCTGCTGGCTTGCTATCAATAGGACGATTATCGCATTTTCTGTCAAGATTTTATTTACGATACTCTTTAATCATTGTTAAGAAAGCTGTAAATTTGATTAACCATACAAATGTCTTTTAGAAAAATTTTTTTAAAAATATAAATGTATCGCAAAGCTGTTCGCTTTCAATTGAACATAACTGTTTGTATAAGAAGACCTATCTTTGTTCTTTAATATGTATGGTTTGTGTGTGTGTGTGTGTTTGTGTGTGTGTGTGTGTGTGTGTGTGTGTGTGTGTGTGTGTGTGTGTGTGTGTGTGTGTGTGTGTGTGTGTGTGTGTGTGTCGTTCCAAACGTCAATGTAGCCGGAACCATCAAGCATTTGTGTGTGTGCTGAAAAGAAATTGTTTGTTTGCACATCTCAAACATCTAGTTTTTAATAGTTTTTTTCTTTATAATTATTATTATTATTATTATTATTATGAAAATTATAACATTGCGTGGCGAGGTGTAATGGTGAAATTGTAAAATGTTTAAGGCGTCTGCTTCTGATGTTGTAGTGACCAGGTTCAAATGCAAAATGGCCCCCTTATGAAAGTGTTGTAAAAAATATCAAACTCAATAATTATAATTCATTTTATTTTCATTAATTTTCTAACTGTGAAAGGCTCATATACGTAGATAAGGAAAACCTTTTTAAATGTTAATAAAGAGCTGGTAGTTAGAGAGAGTGAGAAACAGCTTATAAATTAAGAAATACCAAACATTAAAATAATTTAGAAACATCTTTTGAAAATTGTTTGTGGAAAAAAACGATCGTCCACAAAGACATCCACATCCACAATTGACAGGAATGAGTCGCTGGACGTCTGTTGCATGTCAGCGTTCGTTCAAATGCGTCAATTTTTATTATGAAAAAAGTTGAAATAAACATCGCAACTTAAAATTTTTACCCGACAACATTTAGGTTTTCCAAAAAACTATCTGAAAAATATTTTATTAACAAATAAATATTATAAAAAATAAACTAAAACGGTAGATAAATTTGAAAAAATTAAAAAAAAAACCCTCAGATAACCTGCCAAAGGAGGTCCAAACAAGTTGGCAATCCCTTGAGCAAGTGACACAATACCAAAGGCATTGGTCAGTCGATCCATGCCCAGCAGCTCCACAAGGATGACCGTGGTCAGTGCGAAGTTGGCGCTGATGAAAAATCCGTAGCCGGCGTAGAGAATGGCCATTGGAAGGAAGGTGGTGACCAGTGGGATGAAGAGGATCATGAGGCCCGCCACGGCTGTCATTACGTTGTAGAAGGTGGTCACGTTCAAGCAGGACAGGTCACCGAGGTATCCCATAAATATTTGACCTAAATGTGTTATACGTTTCTTAGCTGATCTTCTATAGGGTATTAGCTAATTTCATTTTATAACGGTCGCCAAACGATGATCAGTGATTGAATTTTTGAGGTGGCGTCTTTCATTGAAAATGTATGAAAAAATTTATTTAACAGTCGACGAAGCAATTCTGAAAAAATCATATTCATCTTAACTATCAAAAGTCTACAATTCATCATCGATATAACATGCTAGCACCAGCTGAGACCACAACCGTGGTGACATAAAACAAGACCAACCTATCATACTGAATAGACCAATGATGGAGACAAGGTAGGATGCATTCCTGTCTGACATGTTGTGGTCAGTTGCCCTGACCGGTCCGTAAATGTACGGGATGTCATAGCTCAGGTAGAGTAGGACGGTGTGCAAGTTGAAAAACGTGAAAACGGGGCTCTTGAATACACTTAGATCAATTAGTCTGTACATTTTCGATCCAATATGTTTTGCCATTTTTAGAAGAGCAGACGTGTTGCAGTTGAAACGACACTGG